TAAAGCTGGGAGACATTTTCCTTAGGACAGAAGACCAATTAGCAAATGGGATCTCATGAAACTAAAAAGATTCTGTATTACAAAGGAAACTTTCAACTGAGTGGAGAGGCAGCCCACAGAATGACAGAATGAATGAAAATCTTTGCCAGCTCTATGTTGGACAGAGGGTTAGTAACTAGAATATACAAAGAACTAAACTAAACATCAAGAAAACAAATTACTCAATTTAAAAATGAGCTACACACATACACATAAAATTAAATAAATAAATAAAATATTTTTTTTAAAACGAGCTATAAAACTAAACAGTTTTCAAAATAAAAAAATAAAAATAGCTAGGAAACACTTTTAAAGTGTTCAGCATCCTTAGCCATTAGGGAGATGTAGATTAAAAACTACTTAAAGAGTTTATCTCACCCCAAGCAGTAAGCAGTTATGAGTACAAATGACAACAAATGCTGGTGTGGATGTGGCGAAGGGGGAACCATTATACACTGTAGCAGGAGTATAAACTAGTGCAGCTACTTTGGAGACCAGTCTGGAGGTTTCTCAAATAACTAAAAACAAAACCATATATCATATGAATCAGCTCTACCACCCTGGGCACACACACACACACGTGTGTATGTGTGTATGTGTGTGTGTGTAGTGTGCGTGTGTGTGTATCATACTACAGAAATGCCTGCACATCTGCGTTCATTGTAGTCTCTATTTACAATAGCTAGAAAATGGAAGCAGCCTAAATAGTCATCAATGGATAATGAAAATGTGGCTCAAATACACAGTTGAATTTTAAATCTTCAAGTAAATGGATGGAATTGGAAAAATATATACTAATCAGGTAACCCAGGCTCAGGACAAATTCCACATGTTCCTTTCATATGCAGATCTTGACTTTGACTCTTTGGTTTTATTTGTTTAACATGGGCTACCTATGGAAACAAGGAAACTGGGAAGGGGACAAGAGGGGATATCTTAAGGAGGGAGGCTAGTGGGACATAAATAAAAGGAAAATAGACAGGGAGAATACTGTGGGTTGAAAGGTTTAAGCAGGAAGAGGGTGAGGGAATCGAGGAGATGAGGGGGTATGGGTTGAATCAACAAAAAATGTAGGGTATATGAAAAAGCCATATGGAAACTTACTGTTGAAATCAAATTAAAACACACAAAAGGGAGATTAAAGGGAGATACCCTATCTGGCTAGATAACGTTGCTCTTAGAAGCAACATTACTAAACAGAATTTCCAGTATGGGCATTGTTGGTCAGGGAGGCCCCAAAGGCCACCAAAATCATAGATACTCTTGACACTTCTTCTGGTTGCCCACCGGAACTAGATGATAAGCTCCTATTGCTGAAGACACCACATACTTCTGTTGCAAGATGTAGAGAAAGTGATCTGGAATTGAGATGGAAACTTCATCCCTGCTGGCTAACTTTCAAAATGCTGGAAGGTGTGATGCAGACAGCTGTGGGAGAAATGATACAATAACCTCAAAGGTCTAACAGGGTATGAGCCCTACAAACTACAAAACCAGATTGCCAGGTAATAATGGCACAACTAAGGCTGGACAAAGTGCAGAAGAGGGGGCAGGAAGAATGTAAGAACTGGAAGATAAGAAAATGGGCTGTGAAACAGCACCCTCTTGGTACATCATAGTCATTTCAATCATAAACTCATAGCAGCTTATAGTGCCATGCATTGGGCCTGCACAAGTCTGGCCCTGTCAACAATCAATCGTGGACGAGGGAAGGAGGTCTTACCCTTTGCCACTGAGCTATTGGCTACTGGTAGATTCTAGGAGATGGGGAGTCATTGTTCTCACTTGTATACCTACTGTGAGTCTACTAGGCTCCATTTGATAGCTCAGAATTCAAGGTCACACAGATGGCTGAGGCTGACTCAGGGGGTCACAAAACAAATAGACAATAATGTGAGAAAGATTTGTATGGAAGTGGAAGGGTTACAGGGGTGGGAGGGAGGTTAGAGAGTATGGGAGAAGAGAATAATCAGTATGCATTATATACCTGGATGAAATTATTAAAGAATACATAATTAATTTTAAAAGTACATGCTAAAAACACCATGAGTTCAGTGTCCATTTAAAATGAATACATTTACTAATCACAGTAGAGACTCAATATATTTTTAAGTAATATTAAATGTATACACAAAATCTGTAAACTATATTAAGATTACTAACCTCTTAGAAAGAAATCCAAACCTGCCAAGTTGGGAACTATTGATTAGTCTGATGTCTTAAAATCATTTCCTACTTAGAAAAGTCTTCAAGATTTTATTGCATTCTCCAACTACTCTGCATCCATTAAAATGGGTTTTGTGTCTTTAAGAGGAAATATAATTGCACTTCATGCGTTGTGTGTGTGCGTGTGTGTGTGTGTGTGTGTGTATTTAAATGAACGATTAATGAAAATTGTACCCAATTATTTTAAAAAAATAGAATACTATTTTGCGGAGGCAGTGGCAAACCTTACCTGATGTGTCATGGTGGAGTCATTCTTGAAAAGTAATGGCTACAAAATTGAGTAAACATAGAACCAATAAAGAGCAGATTTCTTCACACCATGTAAAACTCAGCCTGCTAAAGCACACAGTGCTGTGGAAAATTTTGAGACAAGCATGAGGATTTTTCCTCTCCTGCTTGCAGGCATCAGTCACACAGTGAAAAAATTTCCTCTTTCCCTATGATGGCACAGAGTTGCCCTATGCAGATTGCTGTCAGCACGGCCCCTCTTCCTCGGTGCTTTCCCTTCTTCCTTTAAGCAGTAGGCACAAGACTCTATTTGATGAATTAAGGTATTAATCAGGATGAGTAAATTCTTCCTTGCATTTCTTTTAAGTACTTGATCATGCCCCTCTAAGAAATAAGGAGATGATCCCAGTTGATCTATTCTTTTGAATTTTGCTCTTATTCCTTAGGCACTTAAGCTACCTTTTTTTCGGCTCCAGCCTGTAGGACCAAAGCCAATTTGTAACCAAATGTCAATATAGAAACCTTGCCCATCTCTAGCCTGGTGTGCATGGGTCACTGAACTGATAAGATATTGACCAGACCAAATGCCATCACCCTATATACCTGCACTTACACATAGAAAGAGGTCATTCAAGGGGCACTAACTCTTTGCTAGGCCCTGTGTTGAACACATTATTTTCCTACAAGAAAGTTTCTGGACATTAAAAGGTAAGGGAGAAGAGGAGGAGGGAGGGAAGGAGGGAGGCAGAAGAGATACTTATTTTAAAATAATCAAAAGGAGGGCATCCATCAGATGCCATTTTCTACCCAGATCTGTGTGTGCACTGCTATATTGACTATTCTTAAGCCCTCCAGGGGAGTACAATAAAAAGTAAGAATGATCTATGTGTATGTACAGATGTGAACAAAAGACTTACTACAGATAAAATAAAAGTTCTTCTGCCAGCAGTGCAGGACCAGATCTAAAATTCTATGTATCTAGAGAAAACTGTAGGTGCTCAGAATAGAAAAAGAATTCTGTAGGTTTAAGCATTCAGGGCTTTGAGGAGAACTATAATAAATGGATTGACTAGTTGCTCATGAAGGCAGCCATTTCCCTAAAGTATGGCTCCATCAACAAAGACAGGAAAGTGGGAAAAAAGAGACATTGAGTTTCCCAGCTGCCATGAGGCTAGGCAATTTGCCTGGCAAATTAGTAAGAACTGGGGTTGAAAGACTGGGTTCCGGTTTGAGGCAGGCCCTTCTCCCAAAGGCATGGGGAAGTCATTGAAAGATTTTGTGGAAAGGAGTGACAGGATTAAGGTGATGTTTGAGAATGGTAACTCAAACACAGCAAGCTGATAGACAGCAAATAGGACAGAACAAAAAACAACTTAGGGCTTTTCTTCATAATTGCTAGACTTGGAGGTGATAAATGCCTGAATCATGTTGTAAGCTGAGGGGCTGAGAAGGAAGGCGTAAATGTGAAAGGCATTTCCGGGCATTTGAATAGGAGGGGAGCACTTGAGCCACTGACTGGCTTCAAGTTAGCAAGTCACACACAGAGAGCTCTCCAAAAGTATGCGCTGGAAACACCAGCCCTGGCTGCAATACTGTCACCCACAGCAACCAAAGCCGCCCACTACCCGGCAGATGACCCCCACGACAGCAAACCTACCCATCTAGTCCAAGCTCCCCACCTCCTCATGCTTGAGTCCGAAGACAAGGAGGATGGAAAAGTTTGGGGAGTAGTCCCGGTCTCACTAGAAGGACATTCATTCCTCAAACCCTCCTCTCAGGTGCTCCTGAGAGGGAGGATGACATCTGGCCAGTCCTCCGCTGGCCACCACTCCTCCCCCTCGGGGCCGGAATTAGGAAACCCTGGACAACCCGCTAGTAAGTCCTCGCGTGCCGAAGCGCCTCCCCAGGCTTATAAAGGTCGCAGCGCCAGGCAGTTGAGCTCACTTGCCTGGCAGGGGGCTGTGTCAGTGACAAAGTCGACGAGTGGCCTCTGGGGATCAACGCTGTGCTGCAGCCACAGCCCCGCAGCGTCGCTTTCAGTTCACCTGGACCTCCAGCGCTGCCTCCCGCCACCCGTGCCGCGCCAGGCTCAGCTGCACGAAGGAGGATGGGTATGCCTCATCCCACCCTGCGGGTCCAGGCGCTGCTGCTCTGCCTGGGTAAGCCCTCGCCGCCCCCGGAGAGGAGACGGGGCGGCCCCGTGCGTTTGTCATAGAACAAGCACAGAGCTGTCTGCTGGGTTCCAGTACACTCTGTGTAAGAGGATGTCTTTATGTGATTCTGTCTTTCCCTCTGTCGGGATTGGAGAGGGGCGGGTCGCTATGCCTTTCATTGGCAAATTCATTATCATATATGTTGAGCATAAATTAATTTACTGGGAAAGAAAAAGAAAGGAAGGAAGGAAGGAGGGAGCGAGGGAAGAAGGGAAGAAAGAAAGAAAGAAAGAAAGAAAGAAAGAAAGAAAGAAAGAAAGAAAGAAAGAAAGAAAGAAAGAAAGAAAGAGAAAGAAGAAAAAGAGAAAGGAAAAGAAAAAAAGTTTAAAGGCTCTTTTTTTCCTTTTGAAAATGCGTCAGTTCTAGAAACCCAAAGGCATGGAGAACATTGCTAGTAGGTAGCGTCTTGCTCTTTCTTGGAGTGGGGCAAGCGGAGATATGACCAGCCCTCAAGAGACCATTTGAAAAGGAACACTTTTCTCCTTGGTCTTACACCAAGTGTCCTAAAATCAGCCGCATTTAGCTTTCCTGGACTCCGCTGTGTGCCAGCGCGAGCATGACTCCTCTCCGAGGCTCCAGGAGTTAAGACGCTGTTCTTGAACTCAGGAAACTTGAGCAGGTTGGGGCAGAAGCTGCCTGCAGCCTCTGCCTGCTCACCTGTGGCTTTCCCCAGCAGCACCTGCCTCCCCAGGCAGTCAGGCGCTTTGTGCTTGAGGCTAACTGCACTTAGAAGCCTGTAATTTACGAGGAGGGTATTTTATTGGTAGTTTCCTTGTTTGAGATGATTTATGTCTGTGGGCAAGGGGGAAACACCTCTTACATGTAGCCTTTATGGTTTGATTGTTTGTTGAAAAAAAATCACTTTCCCCTAATATTTCTTACATCCCAGATGATTCTGAAGTTTATACATGAACTCTCTCAATATATGAATATTTTAATAAGGAAATAAAAGTTACCATTCTTCCTTAAATTGTAAGGAAGCAAATTGTTCCAATACATTCTCCATGCAGGATGTGACAGTTACATGCCTTACAGGGGCTGGGGGGCATAATGTAATGCCTACTACAGAGAGCTAGAGCTTGCACGTCTAAATACCTGAACGTAAGTGGGAACTGGAGCTGTGGTTTCCGCCAAAGCTGAGTTAAGGATGATTTAGTAGAAGAGTCATAATAAAGAATGTGGCTTTGCTGTCTCTGCTTTGACAGTGTTCCTGGAGTTAGAAAGAAACCTTTAGGTCAGAATGGGCAGTACCTCCCCCCTTCCCCCAAGGTCCATCAGAACAATGCAAGTGTCTGTTCTGAACATCTCTCTGAATATTCTAATTTGAGACAGCAGGGGTCTATGAATAACCTGGTTACTACTCAACTAGTGTGTGTGTGCTGTGTGTGTTTTTGTTGTCATGAAAGTGCTTAACTCCTTTATTGCATTACTTAATTATAGTTCACCTATTTCATCAGCAGCCAAGCCCAGTTCCAAATGAGCTAGGTCAGTTTCTGTTTTCCCAGTCTGTTTAGATATTTCTCTGCCACTAGGAAAGTTCCTGCTTAAAGTTCTGTATTGTAACTCTCCATTCAGGTATATAGGCCCTATTTTACTCCAAAGCAAATAGAAAAAAAGACAAGGCCACCTATGTCTGAATTTGTGACCCTCCCCTAAGATAAGATTATGTAGAAATCTCAAACTTTGTCCTCAGAAGAGATATTTTAGATTTAAATGTTCTTTTATTGGTTTTGTGGAATTTATATCTATTTATGATTATGGGGAAAAGTTCCACTATCCATCCTCCATGTATGCAGTTTAAAGTTACCACATATACAGTCATTTCATTACTAAATAATTTTTGTAAATGTTTGAGATTAATACTTTTATTTTATGGAAGGGGAAACTGACCCAAGTTCCCAAATAAAGTGGGTAATAAGCTGAGAGAGGTCACATCTAGGATGACTAGCATTTTTAGTTTACTGAACATTAGGTACAAGCTTTGCAATATCCCCAAATAAGGAATGTTTTCTGAATAATCTGCAGTTTTACAGTTGATTTATCCTTTCTGATTTTGTGATTGTTCTGGAGAGAGGAAACTTTTATATCTTGATATCTGTGATATGTTTAGGGACTCTTGATCTGACATTAAACATTTTCATTCATATTCAAATGCGTTTTTGAGCATGCTTATGAGTGACGTCCCCTAGACAATTTGTTCTAACTTCACTATACAATGAGAAAATTTGCAGAGTAAATGTTCCCCCTGGAAAACTTGAGGGGCAGAATCTCAGTGGCACAACGGCTTGCCTTCTGTGGACCTGAGAGTTTACAATCTACAGTACCTGACCCTGCTCTAACCTGAGATGACACATCTGGGCAGAAAGCATGCTGACAGGCCTCTCCTGTCTGGATTTTGACCCAGGCACGACAAGCGCCTTCTGCATTGTCTTGCCGTGAGCAGCTTGGATAATTGAAGTGCCTGGTTCAGCATTGGAATCCAAATCCAGGAGGTGGGAAGAGAACTAGCAGTTACCAAATGCCTGCTGTGTGCCCACCTTGTTTTGTGTTTGTCACCTTTAAAATCACTGCATAAGGGTAGACATAGCAGTCCAGTTTTACAAATGCAGACACTAACCAACACTCAGTGAAACCAAATACAAAGAATAAGACACAGTAAATTGCAAGGTCACTCTTTAAGTATGTGCAAAAAGCCATGGGCTTCCACACTCAAGATGCAAAAGTTAAACACAGAAAACATGAGACTGTCTTGTCAACCTGGGCTAAATGGATGTTGAATTTTTACCTAGTATTCATATTTTTGATCAACATAGTTCTCAAATATGAGTTTCATTAGAAAGTGGTCATTGAAGTCAGCTGGCTGGGTCCTTTATTTCTCTTCTTTCCCAAGATGTATACTATATAAAGCAGTCAAGGAGATGATTACCTTATGTTTTTATTCTTTGTGTCTTTTTTATATAATTGTGAATTGAATATAGCATTGACAGCAGACCAAGCTGGATATATACTCCATTTCTATTAGCAGTGAGAAAACATACATATTTCCTTTAAATTTTTTTCGATATTCACATAATAATAGGAAAAAGTTAAATTTAAAAAGTTTTAAAGTTTTCTGTCCAGTTTTGTGAATCTCTCATTTCCTGACAAGAGATACAAATGTCAAGAAGTTCTGTCCGAGGAGATTGTAAATAAAGGGTGGCATCCTCATCTTCACTCTGAATATAGACTTATGCAAAGTGTCTGTTAATATGGCTGTGACTACTGCTAGAGACATTCCAGTGGAAGACAATGGGAAAGCTCCCCAAAGCTGTGATAGGCCAGGATCACAGGGAGGAGCAGCCTGACAGCCATCACCTTGGCATGGCAGTGCAATCCTGAGACATTTGGAAAAATGAGGTATGCAACAGACTCAGTGTCCTCTGGCGATGCAGTTTATATAAGACTGGGTGTCTAGTTACAGAGCAGATAAAAGTTCAATGGCATTCTAGGTTAAGGTAATGATTTAATTAACTAGTGTATTAATTCTAACACTCAAGATCATTTGATATTTGTCCAGAAAAATGCTAATGTGTAATCTCTTAGGTCAAAATTACAAATTATAAATGTGAGATATGAAAGTTAATGACACACAAGCATGTTTGTCAATACATACATACATTCATTTATTATATGTCAGAACTTTATGGTTTCTAATTTAAAGAAGTACCCCCAGCCCCATTGTACCTCACCTGTTCCTCTGGTACTGCTCTTGTCACACCACACTGTTAGTATGTAGCTACACAGGATTAATGGGAACATATTGGAAATAACAGGTTGTGTTAATATCAATGTTATTTGGGTGGATGGTTAGATTGAAGTTTATCCAGTTCTCACCACAGCATTTTTGTTTATTGGCTGTTCTTTAAATATGTACTTGAGACAGAAGACATTTTGAGATTGATCAAAAGCTTCTGAAAATCCAGTTGTTGGTTCTGATTAAGTCTAGTACAACTTTTTCATTGCCTCCACATTTCTTTCACTACAGTCTCTATTCACTGTTAGTATACCTACCAAGCTTCACGTACTCTGTATGTGTGTGGGAGAAAGGGAAAGGAAAGAGAGGGAAGGAAGAAGAGAGAGAAAGAGAGAAGGAGGTAGAGAAGGAAAGGAGATGAGGGAAGAGAGGGACGAGCAAGGAATAGAGGGAGATAGGAAGAGAGAAAGAAGACTGATGAATAGCTAGAGAAACAGAAGTAGTCTAATCCAAATTCTGTTTCCCCCTCCTCTGAACCTCACTCCCTTGTCTGTTTCCAGATATAAAGAATTTCAGTAGTAAGGAAATAAAATAAATATTTGGGCTAGAATTGGGCTCCGTATCTTGAGAGTCCAGTGCAGGAGTTTAAACTCTGACTCTGTAGACAGGGTTGTGGTGGGCTGTCTTCTGCACTGTAGGCGTTCAGCAGCAACCTAGGACTCCACTAGATGTCAGTTGCACCCCCTACTTGTTACAATATAAAACCTCTCCAGACATAGTCAAAAACCCTGGTTGACAAAATTGCAGATGTTTGAGAACCACTAGGCTAATGCTTTCTTCTTTTACTGCCACCCATAATTCACAGTTTGAATAACCAAGACAAATACAATTATTATTAATTGCAATCTGGGTACAAATGTAAAACCAATTCTAGTGTTTTAAAACTCATTTTTCACCTGGGTGGTGATGCATCCCTTTAATTCCAGCACCAGTGAGGCAGAGGCAGGTGAATCTCTGTGAGATCAAGGCCAGCCTGGTCTACAAACTGAATTCTAGACCAGCTGGGGCCTTCAGGAAACCCTACCTCAAAAGGACCAAAAAAAACCAAATCAGCTTTAGGGGTTCAGTGATAAAGTGTTTGTTTAGCATGAACGAAGTCCTGGGTTTGATGTCAGCACCATGAAAAATACCAACTTGGCTACTTGCATTGTTG